TATCTCCTGATGGCTGCTTGTCAGTCATGTCACTCATTGGAGGCAGGAAGCCTAAGGTCATCATTAGCTCATGGCTTGATTGTCTGGAGAGGGAACCCCAGACAGGGGTTGTCTGGAGAGGGAGCCCCTTATCTTGCTTGTGCTAAGAGCTCTAATGCATTTATTCCCCCTCTTTTCCAGGAGGACCACCCATACTGATTTGTCAAAGGATAAATCAGTGCATTTCATTAAATGGCCATGTGTTAGCAGTAAATAAAGAGCAGTAATTAGAGAACCAGTGAGTTTCAACAATTTACTATCTTTTCCAACTTCTCCAGCACCCCTGTTGTGTGGATCCTATTTTTGGCTGTGGGCTGAGTCCCACCCTGCAGTCACACATCATCCCTGCACAGCTGTCCAACTTGTATGAAGAAGGGACTCTGTTGGTTTAACAAGATGTATTTTCATTCCGGATCACAGAAAAAAAAGTGGTTTGAAAAGTTCATTGGACTATTTGTATTCCCTTCAATGAACTCCTCAGCCTCTGCCTGTTTGTCTTTTACCCCTTCCAAGCCATTCTGTTTCTTTTAACTGATTTCACCATGTAGGGAAGGGATTTGGTTCACATGTTCTAGACACCCAAATTTAGGTGTAATGTGGACATCAGCACATGAGCTGCTGTTCCAGTAGGGGTCTATCCAATATAACCAGTGCAGCCCCTGCAGTCAGTGGGACTGGTTGGTAAAGGTATCTAGAGAAAATCTACATTAAAAAACCTGAATGTAGGTATATGATTCTCCCCAGAAATATGGTTCACTTGCCTAATTATAAGGATTTTCTATTGTTCTGGGCACCCTCAGGTGTCTCCCTCTGCCTGCAACTTCTGCTAAAAAGTCCCACTCCATAGTCATTTATCCCTGTCTTGTACCTGCAATCCAAGAGAGGATTTGGAGGGCACTGGGACTCTCAGATCCCATCCTACGTGTCTCACCACTTATTCCTCATTCACCCCCCACTTCTGGCTGTTGGTTCCTACACCACAGCTGTGGAGTTGTGGAGCTGAGGACTTCTGAAATAATCTGTTCATTTGGCAGAAAGAGGTAACCAAGTGAGGGCTCCTTGTTTGGTTGCTATTCCAGGCTCTTTCCAGAGTGCAGTCTGAACACCTGGAGGAAGCTCCAGAAGAGAACCAACAGTAGGTGCTGTCCAGCTGTGTATTGATCATGAATAAAAGCTCCTCAGATGCACCATCCACCATATTTTCTGGTGAAAATATCACACAGTTTTCAAAATAGCTGGGTACTTAGAGTCCAAGAAGTTCAGTATTCAAAGATAGGGGAGATAGAGGAGATGGTCCCAGCAAGATACTCAGCAAAGTCTGTTTGCCAGGTGAAGGGAGGAGATCTATCTCAGAGATTTCATTGCTCTTATATGCAACAGCTGTTGCAGACTGTTATGTTGTGAAAAAAAAAAAGAGAAGGCTAGAAGGGAGGAAACACCCACTATTCTAGGAAAGAATTGAATGGGTTTTGCTATGGAACAAAACCCCAAACAATACAGCAAAAATCTGTCAGGAGGAACATCTGGAACAGAACTGAAAGATGAAAACAATGGAAAATGCTTTCAAAAGTCAACAAACTAGATCCAGACCACAGTCCAGAATAAAGGAAAATCTGGGTAGAAAAAACACATCTATATTTCTGTTCTCCTTTTTATTCCCTCATTTTTTCTCATAGGTTTTCTCCTCTCCAGGAGTTAGACCTGATGAAGGATTATGAACCAGCTGAAACCATTGTGCTAACAGATCTGTGTTGCAATCTCAACATTTGCATCTCACACTTCTTCAGGACAGTGTGAGTCAGTGGTGAATTTATTAACACATCAGGTTATTTAACACAGGATTATCATAAATTATTGGGGTTTTTTGCACTGTGTAGTGCAATTGGAAGAAGACAAATTTGAGGGAGCCCTGCCTCTGTCTTTAGTACCTCCTGACCTTTTCTGCATATCTCACCAGACTTTTCCACCTTTTGGTAATTTCCAGGTTGCAAGTATCCTTTTGTCCTGATTCTCTGCCAGCAGCACATTATTATTTCACTTTATGATCAATCAGGTTGCTCATCAAATTGCCAGGGCTTCCAGCTGGAGTAGGAGCATGAAAGGGGATCCATTTCCATTCCTCCCATGCAGGATGGAGAATTGGGCAGTTTTTTGTGGTCTTGTGTAGGACTTGCTCACCACAGAAAAGTGGGACAAGAAATCTGAAGTTTTCACAACCAAAGTTCAAAGATGGATGCTTAAAGCCCAGATCCTTCACCTATGCGTTGCAGAAATAATGATTCCTGTTGTTTGTGGCAAGTTGCTGTATCCGACAAAATTACTTATTACAAAAACTGTGATTTCATTGCTAGTTACTTCATAATGTTCTGAAACTTACCCAGCTTGTATGAATCAACTATTTTGTAGTCCCCTTATGAGTAAGCTGAAGTAGCTGCTGCCTCCATATCTTCATTTTCATGGGTCATTCCTGTGGCTTGTATGAATCAACTATTTTGTAGTTACTTATGAGTAAGCTGAAGTAGCTGCTGCCTCCATATCTTCATTTTCATGGGTCATTCTGCTGGAATCTATTTAGACTTAGCCAAAGTATGTATCTGAGACCTTACTCACCTTTTCCCTTTGTTTTTCATTCTTCTCCATTCATTCCCAGAGAGATTCTTACCTTTTCAAGACCTCTTGCCTTATTATGTTCAAGATTTGAGAATCACAGAATGGATGAAGTCAGAATGGATCACTGAAGGTCATCTAATCCAACCACCCTGCTCAAGCAGACTCCCCTAGAGCATTCTTCACCTTTTTCCTAATTCTTCACTTCTAAATTCCTGCTGACTTTCCTAGAGCACCCTTGTAATTGTTCTCTCCAGTTGTGTCACTTTATCTGCTTACTTTCAATATCCTCACACAAATTTGGGTCCATAATAAAAAATGGAATGCCACAGGGTTTGCAGGACCAGACCTGGTTGAGTCCATGTCTCCATTCCAGTCACTCAGGCTGTAAATTATTGTGTGCCATGTTCCTGCTGCTCTCGTGTAGTTTGTTAATGACAAAGTTTTGTGCTACTAAGCCAAGTGCCTTGGAGAAGCCAATTATACGATATCAAAGCTATTATCCTTATCAACTAGATCTGTAATCTCATTAGGAGATGATAACAAGGAAGTTTCACAGGACCTTTTTTTCTATAAAAGCAGGTTGATTGGCATTAATTATATCATCCACCTTTAATGATTTATTAATTGTGTTCAGAGTTGGACATTCCATTTTTATTTATTTTTTTCCCAGAATCAGTGTCAAGTTGACAGGCCTGTAATTACCTGGGGCTCTTACTTTTATCTTTGTTTGAAATATTGGCACAATATTAGCTTTCTTTGAGGGCTCTCAGATATCATGAGTGATCCCAAAATTATTGAAGAGTCCACCTTAATAGGCCAACGGGTTTTCTGTAAAACTCTCTGCTAGCACCTGCATTTAAGTTACTGAAATCCATTGATTTAAACCCATGGAACTATTGATGGCAATAAGCAAGTATTAAGGCTATTTTTCTTCTAAATATTCTTAAAAGAAGTAGAATTTTCCTACTGATTGATGACTACAGTGTTCTTTTGTGTCATTTACCAATTACAATTTCCAGCCACTGAAAAATTTCTGTGAATATTATCTTACCTTTTAAATTTTGTTTTATTTTCCATTATAAATAGTTTTATTATGACATTTGTTTCTCATTCTGAATGTATTTTTTATTTGTGTGATTTAGTTTTTTTTTTTTTAACAAGGGTAAAATTTCTTGATATATTGTGTTTTTTTGGACTAAAATTTATGACTATTAGCTAAATATAGATGTAAATCTTTTAAGAGAAGACGAACTTCCAGTTCATCCTATAGAATCCCCATTTCCAATCCTTTGTACATGATTGTTAAGTCTGGAAGCCTACTTACAAATGGTTTTAAAACTGAGCTGAGAATTGGATATATGAGATGGTTTTAACTGACTTAACTGTAATAATAAATGCTTTGTAACCAGGAGTAAAAAAACATGAGAAATTGTGAAAGCATATTTGGAAACTAACCTAATTCCTGCTTTTCCTCTGTTCAAAACACAATTATGGGAGTTTAAACAAGGAAATCAAAGCTGGATTGGGTGGATGATGGACACTGAAAAATAATTCCTTCCATGTCCCCAGAGAATATACATGCTCACTGGTGTGAGATACATTAGATGGGGAACATGCAAGTCTTGTACTGTTCTCCTTTTACCCGTTAAAAAGGCATACAGAGAATTTAAATATCCTCAGTTATCAGTCAGACAGTGGTCGGGAACAATTAATTGTTTTATTGATTTCACTTAAATAAAAAAAAGGCTCTTAAAGCAAAGTGTTTCTTTAGGATACAAAATCAGCTCTCTTTTCCAAACTAGTAATTTTTAAATATTAAAAGAACATGACAGGCCAGCTAATTTTGTACAGATACATATATATATTTTAGTTCTACATCTGCTACAGTTTTCTGTTGCATAATTGATTTAATCTCTAATTTTACAGGAACGTTGAACTCCTTTACTGGACTCCGCATACATTTCTCCAGGGCAAAAACTGTCCTACTTTTTCCTCTTTAGTATCTGTTTAGTGCTGGGCCATTTTCCTCTGAAACTGTAAACTACCCTTGGTGAAAGAAATTAAGGCAAAGTTGGAATACAGTTTACGAAAACTTCTTGGGCACTTTCTTTTTCCCTACTTTTTTTTCCTCAATCTTTCCCATCCTTGCTGCACGATTACCCTGCAACTGGTGAAGGAGCAAAAAGGCAAAAACTGGTTGAGAAAGAAAATATTAATTCAGCCATTTAGGTATTTCTTTAAAATCAGATTTACACATATTCCCCCCCCCCTAGTTTTCCTCCCATTTTCAGTGTCAGAGCAGCCATGGATACTTTTGTGGTGGGTTTGATGCTGTTTTGTCTTTATTGCAGGTTCTTTGCAATATCCCCTAGAAAGGGATTTAAAGCTGCTGTTCCTTCTTCGGGCTTCTGAAGGGATTTACTGTGATCGTCTGGAGGATATAAATGTCCACCCAGGGAGTATTGGTATGAAACATGTATTCCACTTTTCATAGGAAACTAATTTTTGATAATATCCAAATCTACTAGTGTTGAGACTGTTACTATGTTGTTGTACAGATAAACCTCAAACAAAGGTACACATATTTTACAGCTAACGTTTAATCTTCTGGGACATATCATCTATAAGAAAAACTTCTGTATTTTGGATTTGTCCTCTGGTTTTGGATCTCTTTTCCAGAGAAGGGGAAAAAAAGTTCATTGTCCAGAAAGATTAATAATAGCCGCATAATTTTTTGTACCTTTCATTCCTGGAGTTTTTACTGAATTCATTTACTTAGATAATTATGGTTTTTTAAATTTTTTTTTTGATTTTTTTTTTTATTTTTAGTTTACTTAGATAATTCTTTTTTTAATTTATTTTTTGATTTTTTTTTATTTTTAATGGTAGATATCGTTGTCTGCAATTCCTTCAATTCTAATTTGTGCCAATGAGACTTCTCATTGGCACAAATGGTAAAATCCCCTCTTTTGCCTGTATATGCGATGGTAATTTTACTTTATTGAGGACTTATTGCTCCTTCACTTTGTATTTTGAGTGAAGGCTTTGTGCTGTTCTTACACTTGTCATAAAATATAAAAATATACTTTAATAAATATAAAGATTTCCATATATTTGGTTATTGCTTCAGTTCTTCTCAAGCCTCTCTTTCTTTAACCTTTGAAATCCTCCTTCTGTTCTTTCTTTTTTTTTTTTTTTTCCCCAGGAATTTATGGACAGGTGCAAATTTATAGTGCTTATCCTAAGATACCTTGGACACATCTGGGAACTAATGTTGCTCCGGGCAATGAAAGGTGGTATTTTGGCCAAATATGCTTTCAAATATTAAATTTTGGCTCCTGTTCCTATGACTTGTATTTAATATTCCTGTGAGTTGCATTATTCTTTCTCTTTGTGATGGGTTCTGTTTGAATTCTGTCTAGACAGAAAAAAAACAACCTAGGTAACAGAAAATTGCACCATGATGGGGAAGCTGATGATCTTTAAGGTCCCTTCCAACCCAGATTAACTTTAATTCTAAAGAAATCGAAATTCTAAGGAGGAATCAAACTGAGACTTCCTTCCTTCCTTCCTTCCTTCCTTCCTTCCTTCCTTCCTTCCTTCCTTCCTCCCTCCCTCCCTCCCTCCCTCCCTTCCTCCCTTCCTTCCTCTCCTTCCTCTCCCATTCAGCTAGCCCTAACAAAGCCTCATTGGAAGAGCTCCCATCAGGGTAGAGGTGTCAGCATTTCGGGAAATGATTGTAGAGATGAGCAGTGGAAGTACAAAGACCTCACCAGTAAGGCTCATCTGTTGTGAGCTCTCTCAGAGCTGTGTGTTCAGTGTAGATTAATTGTTTAGGAATTGCTACCTGATCCTGATCCAAACTGTGCAACTTTAGAATCACCCTCTGGAAATTCTTCTCCTTCCCTGGCTGAGATGGGAGATCAGAGTAAGCAGATTCTGACTGAAGCATGCCAGTTAAACACTTGGATGAAATGGATCCAGTCTAGATCTGGGTTGCTGCCCAGATATTTTATGTGAAATATCATGAGGTGCTAAGATACAAGTGTTTGGAGTTAATGCATGCACATTAAATACAGCACAAAGAGTTGTTTCAGTTAAAAGAAAGGCAAAAACAAACAAACAAACAAACCAAAACCAATGCCCTCTTTTTCATTAAAAATCTACCAAAAACCAGCTTAGAGTTAATGTGGTTGGATACAGGAAATAGGTAAAGCAGAGCTGGAATATGAAAGCTGAAGGAAAATGAAAGCTGAAGGAATTGGATTTTATTGAAGGAGAGAAGCTGCTCTATATCATTTTCCAGTATGAATCAGCTCATCAGTTCAGGAAGGACTTTCCTGCCATTTCAGAAGATATGCAGTGATTCCTCCAAAAGAAAAAAAAAAAAAAAAAAAAAAAAAGGCAAAAAAAAAAAAAAAAAAAAAAAAAGAAAGAAAAAAAAAAGGTCAAACAAACAAACAAACAAACAAAAAATAAAACAAAAACCAAACCAGAAAGAAATTTTGGTGGATTACTCTACTGAATATTCACAGATATTGTATCCTGTAAGTGTTCATCTGGAACCTACTCATTTTTGAAAAATATTGGGGAAAGAGATTCTGGAAAAACTTGACAACATCCCTTTAGGAATCTCCTTTCTCTCTGCACTTCTGTCATTCTAGCCTGCACGTGAGGCATTGTGTGAATTCACTCAGTGCCCTTTATCCTCAATAATTCCCTGAGGACTTTAAATCATCACCTGGCCAGCAGCAGTAACTCTGTAACAGGACAAGGTGTTTATCAAACAGAGATGAACACTGACCATTATGCATTTTGCTGTCACTAAACACTTTTATTTTCTTTACATGAAGCTAGAAATCCCCTGAACTACCAATATAACTTTCACTGTAAAAGGGGATCTTCAGTTCAAGATTAAAACAAATAAATGCAGGACGCTGTGCAACGTTCAGTAGCCAGCAGAGTTTTAAGTGCTGGTGCCTAGAGGATGTTCAGCAACCAAAGGAAGGATTCAGGTTCCTAAACAGATGGTTTGGGCCCATTTGAGGTGTCTTTGGGCTCTTTTGAGATGCTTTTGGGGTTCCTTCCATGGCTTGCACATTTATCTCCCGGAACACTTCAGGAACCAATCCTGTCTCCTGTCACATCTGCTGGCTGATGTTTTAGATACCCTGGGATATCTCAGATAGCAAGAGATGCTCTTGTTTAGGGAATCAAATCCTGATCAAAGTAACCGATTCAGAGAACTGAATTGCTTTTCACCCACTACTGACTGCACCAACAAGCTCTGGTGGAAGCTTAGATGCCAAGTGCAGACAGCCACACGACCCTGCACATGGTTGTTGTCTAAATCCAAAGTTGACTTTCAGCTCTGTAGAATATTCCTGGCACCAAAAATGACCTGATATGTCTTTTGGAGGCAGCTTGAGCTCTGAAATGCTGTACTGGAACTGTATATGTTGTTAATCAATGGTGTGAAGTAGATGCTTCAGGATTAATTTCCTCCTGCATATTTCAGACATCTGTTTTTGCAGAAAGCCCTAAAGGGGCTTTTCCTACAGCATGGCCTGTGGACTTTTTTTTTCTTTTTCAGATCTCCCTGAGCAAAACTGTTCATTTTTAATGAAATTTGTGAGCCTAACTCTCATAAGCATAGTGACATTAAGTTTATATCATGGTGTTACAGGATTTTTGTAGAGGATGAAGTAGATTGGGATCAAGGTGGGGATATTGTGATCAGCTCTTCCTCCTATGAAGCCTACCAAGCTGAAGTAGTTACACTTAAAGAAGTCCATGGTCATAATATAAGAATACATGAACATCTCCTGCACAGGCACATTGGTAAGGAATTTTTCTTTCCTTTTTCTGAAAGTTTTCTTCTGAAGTATTGACTTTCCATTTCATATCTCAACAGGATCAATTCTACTTCCTTGTGGTGTCTTCATTTCTTTCTCCATATAGTTTTTTTATCATGCTGATTGTAACATGAATTTCTGTGAAAATAATCAATTCACTGCTGAATTGTTTGGGAAAACTTTCTGGTGTTTCAAGTTGAGCTGGTTCACAGAGAGAGAAAGTAATTTTTCCTCTTTTAAAAGAAAAAAAGAAATGTAGGATTTTAGGCCCTTTGTACAATTTCTATAGTATGTCAAAAACCTGGAAAAGAATTAAACCCCAGCCTTTTTTCAAATTTCAAAATAATTATGTTCAAAAAGTTTAAAAAACAAAATTGTATCAATTCCATAGCATGAAAACAATGTATTTATAAACTAATATCTAAAAAAACATAAAATCTGTGTATATCTATTTTCTGTGTAGATTCCATGGGATCTATATGTTTGTGGAAAAAGGGATGTAGTATTAATACTTATTTACTTTTATTTCAGCTTATAAAGTAAATTTATTATCATCTATTTAAAAAAATCTAAAGAATTTTATTAACAGGTCAAATTCTGAACTTTCAAACCAAGGATTTTTTTGTTCACATCAATATTTTTTCAAATTTGATCTTTATTCCACCCAGTAGGCACAGAAATTGAGTGTAATGGATAAAAAGGTCCAGAAATATAATGTTTTAAATGATAAATGTTTAAATATCTGAGCCAGTAATCAAAGCTTCACTTGGAACTGAGCTCTGTTCTGCAATTATCCACAGTGTTAATCAACAGTAGGCTCCATGGCACAGTTTTTTATGACAATGGCATTTTTCAAACAAAATGTGCAGTTCAAAGCATAGAACATCTAGACTTTATTTCCAGTAGTTTATGCATTTTAGGCCTTCCTTTTTAGCTGATGTAGATATAATGTATCTTGAGGGGAAATTACTGCTTACCGCTTGAGTGATGCAGCAATTGTTAGATACAGCTAAAAAAAAAAAATTCTGATGGAAAAATTGAGAGGTAAATGCTGAGTTTCACCTTGGCAAATGTAGATACTTGCAGGAAATGTGAGCCAGTCACTCTTAGCTCCCTTGATAATTAAAGCAGAAAAATACATACAATACATACTTCTCACTCATTTTTTATCTGCCCCTAAAGCAGCTATATAAAATACACAACAAATTGCACTTGAGAGTTGCCTATTGCTCCACCATGCATAAAACCAGCCTGGATAACTGGTTAAAAATCACATCTTCATGTGTCTAAAATCACCTGAGATTAATCCAAGCTAGACAGCTGCATAAACTTGAACAAAAGTTTCTTTCAGAAAGGCATTGAAAAAATGCTTTAAAATCCTTTTAGAAAGCACATACAAGCAAAACTCTGTAGCAAAGAGGGTTTTGGCATTGACATTAGTCTGATCCTGAGGAAAATTCATGGAGATCAACTCTGCAGTGTGCTGAAGAGTAACTCCAGCACGCAGAGCTTGGAAAAAGTGAAGTGTGAACCTGTTCATTGCTTTGGCACCTGCACACCGCAGGGGAAAGGTTTAGCACCTCCTTGTTCTAAAAACGAGATATCTCAGTAAAATATAAGCACACAGTGAATATTTGATGGGCAGGTGGCCTTTCTGGTTTTGTGTCGATGCACGCAGATTGTGCTGGGGGTGAAACACACCTGAATGTCAGTGCAGATTCTGCAGAGGAGCTGTCAGGATTTATGTCCCTCAAAGCAGTGGCTAACAGGTATGATAGACACTTATCACATTTGCTTTCTTGAAACTCCCCAGGGCGTCCCCATGACACAGAAGATGGCAGAAGCATCCCTTTGGCCGCGGAGGTTGGGCTCCTCACACGGAACGTGCAGATCCAGTCGGATGTGGCTTGTGCTGGGAGGATGCTGGTGGGACACTTCACAGGCTCCAGTGGGATGGAGTTTGAAGGTAGTTGAGATTCACCTGTCCTCATCAAGCACAGCGGTTTTGCCCAAGAAAGAGGTGCAGCAACATGTGAATCCATTCACATGAGCTATGAAATTCAGAACAAGCTGACTGTCAGCAAGTATGAAACATGAGCACCACTAAAAATTCATAAAAATTGAAGATATTTTAGGAGGGGCTGTTCTGTGTTTTGTAAGGTTTTACTAAGACTTTTTATATATTTATTAACAAATACCCATCACTACAATACACTGACAAAGTAGCTGCTGACTGTTGTATGTCTGACTGTTGTTAACATGGTTGTCCTTTCCTGTTCTTATGTAATATAAGCTTTTATTTCACTCCATTTGTCTCATTGCAGGTGCTCTTCAACTCTTAAATGTTCAATTTTTGAATTTTGGGCCTCCTCAGCTTTCTGCCATTGAATTCAGGAATGTATCCCAGGGGTCCTCAGTGGTGTCATCCAGCTTCAGTGGCAGCTGTGGAGCTGGCATTAAAGCAGTCAAGAGCAGAGGAATCTTGTTGCACGGTAATGTGGTGTTCAACACCACTGGACCTGGCATTGATTTGGAAGGGAAAAATCACTCCCTCACCAGGAGCCTTGTTATTCTGAGCAGGCAGCCAGCAGGTTCATTAAACTGGGTTGCTGGCATCAAGCTGAACCTGGCCACTGGTGTCTCCCTTCATGGCAATGCTGTGGCAGGATCCGAGAGGATTGGCTTCCATGTCAGGGGCCAGGACTGTTCACTAGCTGGAGAATATTGCAGCGGAAATGTGGCCCATTCGAGTCTCCACGGCGTTCACCTCTACCAGGAAGATGGATTTCAGACCTGCACTAGGATCACAGGTTTTCTGTCCTATAAGAATTATGACTATGGTGTCATGATGCATCCTGGAGGCAGCATTATTGTGGAAAACGTGGTGCTGGTGGACAACACTGTGGGACTCCTGGCAATGGTGCACTGTGCCTACACTGAGCAATGCTACACGGGGAAAACATTCATAGAACTTAAAAACTCCGTCATTGTCGCAACAAGCTCGACTTTTGACTGCCTCAGAGACAGGATCAAGCCTCACTCAGCTGATCCAACAGCTCAGGACCGACCTCCACGCTACCCTCTAAGAGGGCGTGTTGGGATTTTATGGCCCACGTTTAGCACTGCTCCCAGCCAAAGGCCAGAGCATCCCTGGCACAAAACTGGGTGTTGTCCAAAAGCCCTGGGAATCATGAAACTGAAAGGTTGGTCATCTGCCTCCACTGGCCAGACTGTTCTGTCACTGCTTTTCTTTACTAATTTCATTTTTTACAGTTGAAGTTTTAGCCTCCCACAGATGGACTGTTGGAGAAATCAGAACCTCAGTGAAATTGATTACACAATTCTTCTACAACTTGATACCGTTTAATTAAGAAAAAAATATTATTTGTTATTTTTCACTTCCCGAAATCTACTGCAGGATAATGGTTGCCCCTAGAAGCTGTGGCTGCCCCATCCCTGGAGGTATTCAGGGTTGGGTTGGACAGGGCTTGAATCAGTCTGGGATAGTGGAAGACTCCCCTGCCCGTAGCAGAGGGTTGGAATGAGATGATATTTAAGGTCCCTTCCAACCCAAACCATTCTTGGATTCTATGATTCCATGATAATTATGTTTCGTGCTAATGTACAGATTCTACCTCACACATACCTTCCTTCTGTGTTACTTTTCCAATTGATTCATCTCTCTGACCCACAGTTGCCTCCACCTAAATAAAAATACCAAATCTGAGAAGTGAATATCATACTTTGGATAGAATTGTCACAGAACATAGGAACTACAACTCACAGAAGCAGTTATGACCTTTATTGGTATAAGAGCTTGTACAAGAGGAATAGAAGTCTCTTATGTATCCTGGATCTTTGTTTCAGATGAATTTTTCAGTCCCCAGAGCAATATTTGAGTATATCAGAACCCTGATAGCTGCTTGCAATAGTGGGATCTAAATACCTCACTACTTTTCATGTCTTTACTCCTCGCTGCTACTTACTTTTGCAAGAAAATTCATTATCCCCTTTTTCCTGAGGTGTAAGAGAGATAGAGAAAGACAAATAGACTTGTGCAGAATCTCACAGAAAATTCATGGCATAATATGGATTTTGGAGCTGCATAAGAGTTGACTGTCAGAGCCAAGTATGTGTCATCACACCCTGCTTGTTTTATATTAATCTCTGGCAAGTAGAAAAATCATCCAAGGCAGGTTATTATTTAACTGGTTCTTACTTATTCAAATGAAAATGTATAAAATACTCTTGCTTTTTGTTTTCTCTCTCCGTTATTATTCTGTGATTTCATTTCCTATGGTGTGACTTGGTTTGTATCAACTTAGGATGTAAATTAGCTGCAAGTATTCTAAAGCCACATGAAGATCTATGAAAAATGTTAGTTATTAGTGTGATTTAAAAATAATTTGCCCATATATATATATGGGGGGCACGTTAACATGGAAAACATCACACAAAAAAAAAAAAAACCAACAACTTTCTTATCTCTAATTATGGCACTCTTTTAACCACTTTTTCTTGCTTGATCTTCTCTTAATCCCTGGCAGAAGTCACCTTTACTGGTTTTACACAGAGCTGCTACAGTGAAGACAGGGATGTCTGTATCATGTCAAATGCTGATCATTTAGGCATCATGCCTCTCATCACAGCAGAGACATCAAGGATGTTACATGTCAGTGAGAAGGACAAGTTCTACTTTTATCCAACAAGGTAAAATGCTTCATTCTGAATTATCTTAAAAAAAAAAAACACAAAACCCCAAACACCTACAGCTTTGGAACTATCCTCCCCTTATATCTGCTTTTGTACTGCTCCTGTCTGACAAAAATGAGCAAGATCCAACATCAAACAAACATGCACAGAAAAATTCAAATACAGGGAAAAAAAAAAAAAGGAACGGAAAAACACCACCAAATTTAGTTTAGGGCAATCTTTTATAATTTGAGTTTTGAATTCCATCAAGGTGCATCTCCGGATGAATCCTCTTGAATTTCTTCTTTTTCTGACATTTGTGTAGCAAAACAAGCCTCACATATCCCATCTCCTAAACCCCCATCCTGAGCATCTCTGACTTCTCAGCCTCAGGCTTCAGAAAATGTCAGGACCTCCAGGAAAAAAAGCCTGAGACAGGGAATGTCCTTTTGGTCGGGGAAGCGTGGCTTGATTTGTGCCCACGAGATCACATCAGAAATGTTGATCAGTACCAGGCAGGCTGTGAGATGTCAAATGATTGCCAGAACTGCTCCTGCCCAGGGAGAATATAATCTGTGAGGGTTGAGGAGGGAGGGGAGAACTTCATCTGTAACCTTAAGTCACTGCTGTTTGCAGTGGTTTAGACATACCACATCCAATGGAAACCACATGCCTATTTATTTATTGCAGCCACTGAACATGATGCAGAGGCTATGTCAGGAAAGCCTTGAAGTAGCAAAAAAATATTCCAGCATGGACTCCACTTGCCAGTCAAAAATAATTGGAGGTGTCCCGCACTGCTGTGTTTAGAGCCCCTCCAGCCTTCTGCCAGAATTTCTTATTTTATTCTATATTTTTGCTTTTTGCTCTGGGCATTAGTTTGCGTGTAGATTTCTGAGCCCTGTCCAGCTTGTCAACTCCCATTATGTTTCACTCTTGTATCCATCCCACAATATTCTGCTGGTAGTGAGCTGCTGAATACCCTGTCCACTGCAAGAGCTGGTGGTTTTCAAATGTGAGGAATGCACGTGGGTTACTGAAGGCTTCCTTGGGAGGCTGCTGAGCCTCTGAGGGTGGTAACATCTCCCAGTGCTCCTCATGCAATATCTGCATGCATTTGTTTAATCCACCTTTGCAGCTGCTGAGCTTGATCCAGCATGTGTCTGCATTGTTCTGCTTCAGCATCCCGAAGGGATGTCTTGATGGATTTGTCCTGTCAAAGAGAAGATGAGCATTGCCTTGGAGCAAGAAAGAAACAGAAACATCAGAGAATATAGCAAATCCATGAAGAACTTTGCTTGTACTACTGGTAGACCTAACCAGCAGAAATGCTGGATGTGCTGAGAGATGGCCAAGAACTGAACTGTCAGGATCAGAGGAGTCTTTGTTCTCTGTCTCTTTTGAGCTTGGTTGATTGCGGGAATTGGCCTTTTTCTTCCTCTGCCCTTACTGCAAATCTCTGCCTATACCTGTTTGCCCCATTCAAGGTACCAGCAATCAGATTTTCTCAGCCTGAGACCAAAAAATTCTGCATTTTCTTCAAGGTTCAATGTGTAGTAATCTGAAAATATCTCCATGGACTTTGCTAGAGTACAAGTCTTGTTATCATATTGAATTCTGCCATGGGTGTGAGATGCTCAGTTCACCAGTTCCTTTAAGCTGTGTTGAACCTTTAGTCAATCTGCAATTGAAAGCAATTCAGCTCACTACATGTTAGTGTTCCAAAAATTAGGCATGTTATTTAAACACACTGGCCTCCTTCTATAGTCAATATAGACCCTTGTTTAGGAAATGATTAGTCTCAACTCTTATATTTGTTTCAGTGAGATGAGTTTCTCTCAACACACCTGTGCTGTTACAGGTACCTTCCTCTCTGGCAGCCAGTAGTTAATGCCTTACACAGAAATTTATAGGCTTTTCTGGCTGTTCCAAGCTACTAATAATAATGTTACCTTTCCTACTAACCAGTGTACAAACCTCTGAAGACACCATGCTCCCCGAAAAGAGATGCAAAGGCTCAAGGAAAGCCCTTTTCAAGGATTTGGATGGAGGTGTCCTGCATCTGGAGCCACCTGTCTCTGTTTTCCCCAAGTCAGAATTTGAATGGACACAGTTCTACTCAGAAGCTGGTAAGTGCCTGTGCTGGCGGGAGTGTTTGCAAAGTTGTGCAGAAATTTGAGCTACGAGATGTGATTTTCACTGAGATCTGCAGCTGAGGTTGAGGTCATGGTAGTCCCAATCTGTGTGATTCCTTTCCAGGTAGGATGTAGTGAATTGTGCTGTAGAAGTCTGGGGTGACTCAGTGTGCAGCTCAGTGCCCACCAGTGCCGCTCTGCCTACTTGCAGTAGCATTTCACCCCGCATCCTTACCCTCTTTAGGGTCTGACTTGCTAGATTGAATGGTAGAAAGAAATTTTTTCCCTGTGAGGGTGGTGAGGCCCTGGCACAGGTTGCCCAGAGAAGCTGTGGCTGCCCCGGGATCCCTGGAATTGTCTAAGGCCAGGTTGGACAGGGTTTGGAGCAGCCTCAGATAGTGGAAGGTGTTCTGCCCATGGCAGGGGGTGGAATGAAATGATCTTTGAGGTCCCTTCCAAACTGGTGATTCCATTATTAGTGATTCTACCTGCCCTTTGCAAAGTCCTCTGAGAGCATTGAGGGGCACATGCCATAAAAACACCACAAAACTGCAAAATATTACCAATAATTGGCCCTGCAAGGATTTTCATCCACATCCCACTGAGGAGATAATCAAGTTGAAAACGCACTCCAGAAGTTTGACGACTCCTTTCTGTTTAAAAAAGGCCCATTCTGCTCAGTAACCACTTTCTGAAAGCTCCCACAACAAGGCTCCATTCTCATCCTGATTAAAACTTGGCTCTCTGATTCCAAATAAACTCTTTAATTACAATTAGCATTCCCTGTGCCTGCTGCTGATGGTGGCCATTTTGCTGTAGAGATGCATCGTTTGTAACTCTGCCGGTATGGGAGACTGATGGGAGGGACTGTAATTAATCCTGTTTTTCTTCACACTCTGAAACTGATTAAACACAAGAAGAACTTTAATCTTTAAACAAAAGGTGTAAAGCTTTTTCTCTAAGGATCCCGCTCTAGCTGGCTGCTTACAGGGTTGATTTATGTGTTGTCTAGATGCAAACACTGATTTTTATTGTACCTTTTCCACCCTAATTATGAATCACATCCAAGCACTAATGCTCTGGTACTATTACCACTTAGCACCTGCATATTAATGAATATATTTGCATACAAAACCTGGATTTTATTCAGATTCCCACCATTTTTAGCACCTCCTAGCACACAGTCATAGGTATAGGAGGAATCCTCACAATCTAAAGTGCACTGAGGGTACAACCTTCACTCCACAGGGTTTATCTCCTTGTGAAATGGAGGTACCAGTATATGATAAATGCTGCCTGCCTCTGAAGCTATTACCAAATTACCAGTGGTTTTCTTTGCTATCCAAATCAGAATGGGAATTTTTTTCCTCTTCCCTTCCCAAATGTGTGTTAAATTCTTCTACATTTCTCTGACCTATGGTTCATTTTGTCTTGAGGTTGACATTTGGAAAGGCACAACTTGATGATAAGGTGAATTTGTGGCCATCTTCTTCCCTTCTTCTCTTTCTGCAAAGTTGTAGCACTGACTATTTTTCACAGTGCAATGCAGGCTCTCAGGATAGACAAATTGGAGAAAAAGCTCAACTTTCCTGCTCTCACTGATCTCCTGCCACCAGGACCAGAGAAATTATCATCCCTCCTGTGCTTGAGGCCAGACCATGAGTTCAGTTCTGAACCCCTCACTGCAAGAAAGACATTGAGGGGCTGGATTGTGTCCACAGGAGGGAAAGGAGCTGGGGAAGGGTCTGGAATTTAAGCCCCATGAGGAGCAGCTGTGGGAGCTGAGGTTCCTTAATCTGGAGAAAAGAAGGCTCAGGGGACTCTCTACAACTCCCTGAAAAGAAGGATTCACCTATTCTCTCAGGAAATTAGTGATAGGTCAGGGGGAAATACCCTCAATCTGCACCAGGGCAAATTCAGGTTGGGTATTATGAAAAATTTCTTTCCAGAAAGAGTGGTCAGCCATTAAAACAGGCTTTCCAGGACAGGATGAGGCCACCATCCCTGGAATAATTAAGAAAACCAAGATGTGGACCTTTGTGATATGGTTTAGTGGGCATGGTGGCATTCACTCATTTATCATGGGCTTGATGACCTTGGAGGTCTTTTCCAGCCTTAATGATTCTGTAGAGACAGATTCCCTTTTTCTTCAAGGTCTGTGAAGATGGTGGTGCTGTCACAGAATTATGAAATCATAGAATGGCTTGGAAGGGGCATTGGAACAGGATGAACTTTCAGATCCCTTCCAACCCAAACCAGTCTGTGATTGTATGATTCTATAATAAATATAAATATTTATGTTCCCTTCAAGCTTCCAGTTTGGCCAATCAGATTGAAATTACAGTCCCTCAGCCATTTTCAGATACTCTGATTACTCTGTGAGGAGCAAACCAAAACACTCAGTAGACTTCAGGGACAAAAAAAGCCATGGAGATGTTTCATCAGAATAAAGAATATCCCAGGGAAGAAGTTGTGAAAGCCATAACTGAGGCACAAAGAATAATTCAGAATTATATTGATGTTTCCGGATTCACATGATGTCTTTTATTGAAGATGTAATTGATATAGAATTTATGAAATTTATTATTTCTATACCCACTTTTTCCCCCTTTTGTTTTCCCAAACTTTTATCACTGACTTTGGTCTTTGCTCATAGACCAAGCTTTTTATTGTAACTCTCTTAAGAAGCAGAATTGTTCACTTCAAAATGAAATTTGAGTTTTCTGGATAAACCGCAGAAATTTAGAAAAAAAGAACAAAACAGGAGGGAACAGATCCAAGATTTTTGTTGCTATTATTATTTCTACTGCAAGAAAAAAGGAGTAACAACAAAAGTGGGTTTGAGTCCAACAAAGCATAATTACTTTTTAATATGAGAGTCTTTTTTAGTCTTTTTTTTGTCTTTTAAATATAATACTTCAAAAGTTTAAAATTAAATGTTTTCCAACACCCTCCTCCCTAAATAATTTATGAGGAACTTTCAAAGTACCATTTTTTGAATTATCCAAAACAATTTAATGAGTTTAACATGAATTTGTAATTATTTAAATCTCTTTGAGCTGCCATTTTTGGATGACAAAATGTTTTTCTCCTAAAACTCGTGTCTAGAGCAAGCCTCTTGCAAAAGAGCTTGGGGCCAGGCCTGGAGCACTAAATGGTTCCATGATAGAGGAAATACCAGAATCATAAGCTGTGCAGCAGAGTTAGCTATAAACAGGAGTGTCTTGTTGGGGAGTTAAGGATAAGTGAACAGTTTGTGTATTGAACTGATTCCTGTATCCAGGTTAAAACCCCAGCTCAGCAAAGGGCAGCTGATACAGCCATCCTTGTCTAGTTGAAGGATCATCCAGCTGCTGGCTTTTTGCAGTGTTCATAGGACTCTGTTATCACAGTTCCTAAATCTGTATTCTGGGATGACTCCCAGAGCCATCAAAGTTCATTGTCTTCCCTTGGTGGGAATGCAGGTAGAAGATCCAGCTGTCCCCACTTCTGTTGTTTCCAGCGTTGTCATAGAATTTTGGAATGGTTTAGGTTGGAAAGGACCTCAAAGGTCATCTGATTCCATCTCTTGTCATGGGCAGGGACAACTTCCACCAGAGTTTACTAATGTCCCCTCCACCGAGCAAAGAGAAATTGACTCATTACATGGGTAATACACAGAAATGGAGAGATGAAACCAAGGCTTTCAAGTTTTAGTCTTGAGCCTGCAGACATGTTTTCTTCCTGATGACAGATACATCCTAGGTATAATTTAAGGCAATTTGTACTGAATAATCATAAAATCGTAAAGCAGACCAGGTTGGAAGTGGACTCAAAAGCTCATCTGGTCCACCCTTCTTTGGGAAAGGAGCATTATCTGGCACCCTGTCGCACTGCATTTTGGAAACCTCAATATGAGGATGTGACGGATACTCCACCATGTCCCTTGGGAGATTGTTCCAATAAACCATGGAATCACAGAATGGTTTGGCTTGGGAGGGACCTTAAAGATCACCTTGTTCCACCTCCCTGCCATTGGCGTGGACACCTTCCACCATCCCAGCTTGCTCCAAGCCCTGTCTGACCTGGCCTTGGACACTTGCAGGGATGGGACAACTACAACACCCAATGATTGCTATCACTGTGAAAAAACTTATTTCTTATATTGAGATGAGATCTTTCTTGGTTCAAGCAGTACCTGTAGCCCATTGTCTTCCCCATGTGTGTCTTTGTGAAGAAAGAGCCTTTCTCCTTTATCTCCTTTATCCACCTTGTAGCTTCCCTGTAAGTACTGGAATATTGTGATAGGACTCTCTCCTGAGCCTTGTCTCCAGTGAGAACACACCTAATCCTTCAGCCTTTCCCCACAGGAGAGGTTCCCCAGCTTTTTCACCAACTTTGTGTCTTTCCTTCAGTCCTATCTGATTCTGATTTACTGGGGGACGATGAAGCCCTGGACTATCTGGTGTATATTCATGCAACTTTTTCTTTCTGTTGTAAACGTGCTCCTTGCATTTTGTGTGAATAATTTAATTTATTTTCTACTTTACCACCTGACAACTCCTTGTAAGTTCTTTGGATACAGTGAAATTTAGGTCCATAATATCTCTGTGGGATGGACATTTATTTTGGCACTAGTTTTCCAGGAAGAGGAGAGAATTTGTAACTTGCCCAAGGTCAGTCATTGAATTTAAAATTTTCCTTCCAGAACCCTGACAGCCAGACTCTGAATCTAAAAATACCCCACCCTGTTAAAGTAGGTGGAACTTTAGGGTTGCATTGACTAGAATAAGTCCAAAGTGCATTTTACATAGCATTTTTTTTCTAAAAAAATATTCCTGGACTATATTTTGGGACATCACTGAACATTGCTCAGTAGTCTTGCTTACTCTCTAGAGGTAATCATTACATTTTCTAAATCATAAAGAGGAAAGTGTTTAATATGTAAATGCTGTTCTGAAATAAATTATGGAGACATTCAACACTCAATTTTATGAAAAACTATTCAAAAACTC